GTTTTTTGGGGCCTAGGGCTTATTGAAGTCCAATAGGGCCCTATTTTTTGTTAGAGTAAACATCTTTAAATTGGGGTTTAAAATTCATTTTTAATAACATTAAAATCAGAGTTGAAATATATTTATTTATGAAATGATGTTGAATGACAAACTTTATATCGATAAGTGCTCATTGTTAATGAAAACTATTAAAAATTTATGATGATAATTAAATTTTTGTTGGCCCTTGATACTTGGGGGCCCAGGACTTAAGCCCTGTTAGTCCCTATGTAGATCCACCCCTGCTTAGATGGCTGAACATCACTGTTGATCAGTTCCAGCTTTGGAAGTTTTGTAAAGCATAAAATTTGCATTATTTCTTCTGCAGTTATAGTTGAATCTTTGAAGTTAAAATAATTAATGCTTTTTCAATTTCATTATTTTCTGAAAAAGTTAGACAGAAATATGATTATTGTGTTTTATCCAAAAGCTAAAGTTTTTTTTTTATAGATGTAAATATTTTTCTTAATACTGATGATATTGTCTATTGTCTATAATTTGATGGCATGGTAATCTCTTTCTGTTTATATATATATATATATTATGTATAAAATTACTTGATTCAAAGCAAAGATATTGAGGATATGTAAAAAATGTTCTTTAAATATTTTCAGTAAATATTCAAAAATATCACTTGGTATATACTTTAAAAAACTCAATAAAAACTTTTTCCAATCCAGAAGTGGTCCCTGATTTTATTTTTCTAATAATTTTCATAATTCCTGGACCAAATTAAAATCCCAAATCATTGTGCTTTCTTTCAAACTTTTTATTATCAAAAAGTTTTTTCTAAGTTTGGTAAGAAATTCAAACATTTTTCAGTCTTTTTTTCTATTTTTTTTTCCTCTCTAAAAAAAGTTAAAAATACTTTGTGTTCAGTTGTGCATTAGAGACCATGCGTATAAAAATTAGTGATGTAACGAATATTCGGTTACTATTCGGTATTCGGCCTATTCGACCCATTTTTCACTATTCGGCCGAATACCGAATATTTAATCACTATTCGGCCGAATACNTAAATGATGGTGACGAAAGAAAAAGTTAGATTCTCAAATTTCATATAACTGCTTTACAGTTACAATAAATATATAAAATTATAATATATCAGTGTCATAATGAAATTGTTATTTATTTTATATAGCCATATAAATTATATCTGACTGTGGTTTTATGGCACATCTGTATTTTATTTCTTATTATTTGAGTGTGGATCAGTTCAATGTCAGTCATAGTATAAATGTATAAAAATATGGAAACTCAAATGAAATACAAAATAAGATAATATAAGTTGTTCTATACTGAAAAATTATGATTGCCTTTATCTAATGCTATTTGTAAATTAAGCTTTGAATTCAGTTAATATAAAGAATGTACTTTTTTTATTTAATGCATTATTTAATCATCATATTTAGCATTAAATTGTTTTTATCATAAAAATGTTTATTTTTAATGTAAGTCATAAAATTTTATTTTTAGGTGTTTTACAATTATTACAATCTCGAACTTCTAGAAGATTTCTTCAATCAAGGTTAACTCCTGATATGGAAAGGAAAATATGTTATTTAACATCCCAAGTAAGTAAAATTTAAATGAATGGAAGATTCTTAGTATATCATATATGAATAAAAATGATTTTTATTTGAATAAAAGGTACAATTAGAAAATTCATTTATTTTAATAAACCAGTAGTTATAGAAAGAATAACAAACTATAAGAAAATAACAACGAGAAAGATTTGAAATACATTAGAATAAAAACATTCATTCCAGATTAGTTTTATTAGTGATATACATAAGTCTTTTGTATATATTATAGACATATTGTTATAAAAGAGTGAGCATGTATTTGAGAATGTACTACTAGTTACAGTGATAAATAGCATATATTGTTGGTACCTTTTATAATTTATTATTATAATTAGTCTCTTTACCATAAAAGTTAAGCTTTATATTTTCTGAAAATCACTAGTCCTAACTTTTGTTAACTTCTACTCCTTAGTTTTTACTGCAGATACTTTTAAAAAAGAAAATAATTATGAAAAATTTTCATAATTATTTTCTTTTTTAAATTTTTCATTGAATAATACATTTAAATAAATACATGGCATTGTGAAATATTAAACTACTTTGGATTGAACCAAAGAAATTCATATAAATAAAACAAAATTTCTTTAATATTTTATAATGTAAATTTATATTGAACACTTATTAATAAAAAAAAAAATTATTTAAATTATAGCATACTGGATTATTTGTTTGAAATTTTCAGATTAATTTCAAAAATTCTATATTATAATAAATAAAGTAAGTTATTCAAAATACACATCTATAATTAGAAAATTTCTTATAATATTAACTGTGAATAAAAACATTTTATTTAATAATAATAATTAATTATATAAAAGTATGTTTACTTAATATTACATCATATCTGAATTCATAAAACATGAATAGATAAAATGAATAGTTTACTTATAAAGACTAAAAAGTAATAATAAGAAATAATGATAGGAAGTAAAAATAATTAAAATTATGACTTTTATATTTTAAATGAATAGAAAAATTATTTTATTTAAAAATACAAAAGTGAAAATTCAAGCTTTGCATGATTTGCATAATTTGATTTAGATTGTATCAAGATTTTATTTTCATTGACAAGTTATAAAAGTACAATTGAAATGGTAAATACAAAAAAAAAAAAAAAAAAAAAAAAANGAGAAAGATTTGAAATACATTAGAATAAAAACATTCATTCCAGATTAGTTTTATTAGTGATATACATAAGTCTTTTGTATATATTATAGACATATTGTTATAAAAGAGTGAGCATGTATTTGAGAATGTACTACTAGTTACAGTGATAAATAGCATATATTGTTGGTACCTTTTATAATTTATTATTATAATTAGTCTCTTTACCATAAAAGTTAAGCTTTATATTTTCTGAAAATCACTAGTCCTAACTTTTGTTAACTTCTACTCCTTAGTTTTTACTGCAGATACTTTTAAAAAAGAAAATAATTATGAAAAATTTTCATAATTATTTTCTTTTTTAAATTTTTCATTGAATAATACATTTAAATAAATACATGGCATTGTGAAATATTAAACTACTTTGGATTGAACCAAAGAAATTCATATAAATAAAACAAAATTTCTTTAATATTTTATAATGTAAATTTATATTGAACACTTATTAATAAAAAAAAAAATTATTTAAATTATAGCATACTGGATTATTTGTTTGAAATTTTCAGATTAATTTCAAAAATTCTATATTATAATAAATAAAGTAAGTTATTCAAAATACACATCTATAATTAGAAAATTTCTTATAATATTAACTGTGAATAAAAACATTTTATTTAATAATAATAATTAATTATATAAAAGTATGTTTACTTAATATTACATCATATCTGAATTCATAAAACATGAATAGATAAAATGAATAGTTTACTTATAAAGACTAAAAAGTAATAATAAGAAATAATGATAGGAAGTAAAAATAATTAAAATTATGACTTTTATATTTTAAATGAATAGAAAAATTATTTTATTTAAAAATACAAAAGTGAAAATTCAAGCTTTGCATGATTTGCATAATTTGATTTAGATTGTATCAAGATTTTATTTTCATTGACAAGTTATAAAAGTACAATTGAAATGGTAAATAAAAAAAAAAAAAAAAAATACAAGCTATACTTCAATTCTTTTCAAGTTTAATGTTATTATCAGGAAGATGGCTTCTATAATTGAATAGAATGACAAGATTGTACTTGAAAGCACTCAAAGCTGCTTCCTTTTTTTATGTTTGCTGTTTCAGTTGTATTACCTCTTATGAAGGATATTCATTTAAATTTATTTTAATGGCATTTTTCCTTTCATAACTTGATTAAACAGTTTAATATTCTAACATATTAAATTTTAATTTGAATTTTTTTTATAGGTGAAATTTGGTCAACAAAAAAGATATCAAGATTGGTTTCAAAGACAGGTAAATCTTTAGTATTATCATATTTTATTTTGCTATAATGATAACAGTTATATTTTAAAATAAATATCTGTTTAAATGTAGAAAAACGAATAATTTAAACAGTTTATATAAAAAATTAAATGGACTATTTTAAAAGATATTAAGTATTANGTGCAACGAATATTCGGTTACTATTCGGTATTCGGCCTGAGGCCGAATATACTATTCGTTACAACACTAATAAAAATATTATAATATCTATTCTTTGTATCATATTATTCTGTTATACCTTTGAAATAATTTTTACTACTATATAAAAAGTTTGTTATAAATCAGGCTGTTAAGATAAATCTCAAAAATAGTATTAAAGTTTACTGTTTCTGTAATAAATTGATATCTTTAATACTAGTTGTATTTAGTAATCTTAAACTGAAAAAATAATGACACATTAGGCTATATCAGATGTTTCTTGACATACTGACTTCAAGAACACACTACTACTATTTGAAGCCCTCAGGGACATATAGTGCCAACCCTCAGAATTACGTTTCTGAGGTAATTGAACTTGAAAGTCTGAAAAAAGTCCAAAAATGAAAAATCCCAAAATGCTGAGATGGCAGCCACATTCTAAAAACAATGTTTGGAGAGCAAAAATATTAATACTATTCATATGATTTTAGGACTTTTTTGAACATTTAAACTCAGTGACTTCAGAGATGTGATTCTGAGGGTTAGCACTAGAGTCTCATTTATAATGTTTCAATTTTAACTGGATACGATGCAAAATTATCTGTGTATAAAAATATGACGATATTTCACTGTTTTTTAATATAGTTCTTATAGTTACTTGTGATTCCAATTTTCTTTAGAATCTTAAAAGTTTGTATTCAATATAAAAATTTTGATTTTATATGTTAATATTTAAACAAGTAATTTTTAAATATATTACAATTATAATAATTTAAAATTTTGAATTAATTTTTTAGTATTTAGCAACACCTGAAAGCCAGTCTCTTCGCTGTGATTTAATTCGTTACATCTGTGGAGTTATTCATCCATCAAATGAAGTTTTATGTTCTGATATCATTCCACGTTGGGCCGTTATTGGATGGTTATTAACAACTTGCACATCTAATGTGGCTGCATCAAATGCAAAGTTATCACTATTTTATGATTGGTTATTTTTTGATCCAGAAAAAGATAATATTATGAATATTGGTAGGTACTTTTTCAATTATTATTTATTGTAATTTAATAAATTTAATAGCTTCTTAAATTGTTATTTTCATGAAATAATTTTATATTATTATTATTTTTTTAATAATTACATCATTTTAATGTATGTATCCAGAAAATTATAGCAAGATTTTTACAATTAGTAACTATTAACAACATAAAGCCAAAGAATATGTACAAAATAATGTAATAATAGTAATTGCATGGGAAATAATGTAATAAAATAATAATGAAACAAATGAACTGTTTGAGTGAGATTACCAAAAGTATTTTTGGTACTTTTATTTGTTTCATTATTATTATTATTATTATGGTGCCAAGTTTTATAAACTTTCATGATAACATACAGTAAATGAACAAATGCTTCTAAGAATGTAAGAAAACACTACAATGCTATTTAATACAAAAAATAAATATGTGATATACTATTATTTACTTCTACAGTATATATATCAAGTTAATGGTTTATGAACCCATGAAATGATTTGAAACAAATTATAAAACCAAATCACAAAAGAGAAAAATAGCAACTGCCAGCTGATAAATTAGTTTTTCTCAAAGTTTGGAAAATAGTTTAATATTTTTGCCAATACATCCATCCCAAGAATTGCTGAAAATTTCATGATTTATATAAAAATAATTGTGAAAATATATAACTAAATAATGATAGTTTTTAATTCAAAATTGTACTGATTTCTATATTGAAGTAAGATTTTCATCTTTATAAGCCTATTGACTATTGAGTCTAAAGACTATTTGTCTTTTAGAGATATTAAATTAAAATTTATTTTAATGAATATAAATCTCATTATTAGTTTATTGGTTAATCTATTAATTATTATAACAATATTAATAAATTACAAATATTAAAGGTATTTTTATTAGAATATTACTTATATTTCATCCAATAACAATATGTTTTTCAAATTGAATCAATCATTTTGTTAAAAATATAATATAATATTAAATAAATGCAAAACCACAACTAAGTTAAACTGAAATTTTTTTACTTTTAGAACCTGCTATTCTTGTAATGTACCATTCCATGAGACCACATCCAGCTATTACTGCAACATTACTTGATTTTCTCTGTCGAGTAAGTATTACTTAGTTGGCTTTTGAAAGTAAATATTGTTGTATAAAAATGGTTAAGTATATTTGTCAAAGGAAAAATGGATTATTTATGCTAAAAATGATCTGAATTAGACTGAAAAAAATTGATGTTAAATGTATTTTTTGGTAACTATGAGTTAATAGTGTTTGTTGGATTAATTTAGCATTACAATTTGCAAAATATATTATGCTATTGCAAATTCTAAAGATTAAGAAGCAAAGTTTAAGAACTCTGCTTCTAACAGACAGAGTTGTTAAACTTATATAGTGAGAGAACAATAGATTATTAAAAGTTTTAAAGATAAGAATTTCATCAAAATACTGTGTATGTTTGGGTAACACAGGAAATCTTATTCTAGTCCTAGTGATAACATTAGAGTCCTGTATAAGGTAAATTGACAACTTGATTTAGAAATAGGTAGATTTTGATAGCTCTTGGTTTGGCTTTACTAAAAGTAAATGGGAACTGGTAGTGTGTAATCAATGATGGATTGGATAGTAGTAAGATGAACGAAGAAACAGATTTTGGGTGACATCAAATTATTCCTCCCTGAAAGATAGCTACTTTGCAAGATATGCAATACGGAGATTAAATGTTAGTTAAGTATCAAAGGTAATTCCTAAGTCAACTATGCAAGAAATTGATCATTTTGATCAATGTAAAACTTGCTAATGTTGAATAAACTTTATTTATAAAAATTCTTTGTATATAGCTAGCTAACCAAGTAATCATTTCAAGGAATCTCTATTCTTTTTATATGATGCATTACTAATGAAATTGTGGAGGAAGAAGTCAAGAGAGGAGACAGTTATTTTATATAATCATCATTTTTCTAGTGATTTTATATATTCCAGTGATAATATTTTATGTATGTTATTTCTCTCAGATGCATTTCTTCATTTAGTATGTTTTACATTAATGCACCAATGCAAAATGATATTATCAGAATGGTGGAACATTATAATTCATTAAAAACATACTTGAATACAAAGTTTATTGAAACAGTATATATACAACTTTATGAGCTTTATTATTCTTGTAATTTATCTTTTTAGAAGAACAGGTGGGTAGCATTACATATTTTCAGAATTTTTACAGTTTAATAATAATATAATATAATTTATTCATAATCACTATAATGCTTCAGATACCTTTAAAATCCAGTATAAAATTTAATCAAACAATTTAATTGTTGTTCAATTAAATGTTGTACTGGATTTTAAAGGTATTTCTAGTGTTATAGTGATTACTGATATCCAGTTTTAAGAAAATACTATAAATTATTCATATTTAATTATAAACAATTATTTCCATTTGTTTATTTATATTTATTTTATGTGTTGTTTGATTAATTTTCTGATTGCTTAAATTTTGTTCAAATACTTTGTTTTAAATTCTGATGAAATTTAAAATAAATGTAGGTAAACATGCTAAATTAAATACAGTAGCGTGTCGATTTTCCGAAAGTCAATCATCCGAAAGAATTCCAGTCGGCAAATTTAAATTTTCGCCAGTGCTATGGCACTTCAATCTTTGGCTATGTCTTGGGCTACTCAAATATTTTACGTTTTTGATACTAAATTAACATCTGAAGTATAATTTTTTTATTATTTTTATATTTTTCAATATATTTATTTTGTTTGTACAAAATAAAAAAATAATTTTTAACGATACAATA